GGACCTATGATAAAACACAAATCCCTTGTGTAAAAGAGGCTCTAGGACGTCAGTCTATTATGATCAGAACCTAAAGAATCAATTTTCTAAGTCTGGAATGCACAACTGTTGTGGGGTAAGGTGAGTGGCATGCCAGAAGGAAGACTCCCCAGAATGGGCAGAAACAAGAATTAAAAGTGGGCCATAAAGCACAGTTAATATGATCTCTTCCTTTGAAGTTGCTTCCTGCCATATTAAAATTTCTTATTTAGTAATAACTTTTCAAGGCCCTCCACAGGCTGTACAAAGCTTTGAAGACTGGAATGTCAAATTGTGCCCTTCTAATCCAAACCGATTCACATTGTAGCTACGGCCTATTCTTGCTCCCCATTCCAACTACCAGTTTCTATCATATGAAACTGATATATGAGAACTTCATAATTAATGTTTGAATGTAGGTCTTACTGTTCGTATGTTGGTTCATTCTGACAGATTAATCAAAACTAACAAAATGAAACAAAATGTTGTAACACTTTTGAATTAGTTTGGTTTCAAATTTTTGAGATTCTCAGTGGCTGCCAATTACTTGCTGCAGTAAATAACTGGGTGGATTTGACTAACTTAAAAACCCTAAGTGAGAACTGTCTCTACTTGTCAGATTCTTATCATCTAATGTGCAAGACACCAGTGCTCAATCTGTTTGTCACTGATATGCAAGATGTGATGGGAACCAAACTACAACTGATGGGCCTATGCTCCCCTATTTGGGAGTTAGGTTAGTCCTTAAATGTGACCAACATAACCTTTCAAAAATGGCAAAATAGGGCTAGAAAACATTTTATAAAATCAAATTCATTCACTTGCCTTTGGTACATATTGCTGTTTGCTTTTCAGTCTTCTTTTAGAACTCGCTGATTCAAGAAATGTTTTTCTTTACAAAATTTTAAAACAATCTGCACAACAGTTAATGACAGCATTAAAATGCCTTTGGAGCCCATGTTACACAACTCTTGTCTTTTTACAAAGGTAATTAGGCCCTGAAACTGGAGTTATCTTCATTCTCATAGTTCTTCTTACCTCTGTAGAACTACTGTGTCTGGGTTCGAGACCAACCAAGAAATTGAACAATGACAAACCAAAGGATTTCCATAGAGGTTGACAGAAAGGGCGTGCGATGAAGTAAGATTCCATGGGCTGAAGGAGCTCAAGTTACAACTAGGAAAAAATAAAACAAAAGAAATAGGCAATTTAGTATCTGGATTATTGTTTGCTTTATTGTCATAAATGGTGGAGGGTGATTGTATTATATACTTTGTTATACATCTCTTCTTCACTCTGCAGCCTCCTTGACTTTCTGATACAAAAAACAAGTGGTCTCATGAAGTTTCTGCTTGGGATTTATCTTGAGCAATATGAAGCCAGGTGGCTGGAGACTGCTGGAGAGATGATTATAAAATGAAATATGGGTTCTCTTTAGTAATGCTTGTGCAAGAAACTCCCATCCCAGCTATGAGAGTTACCAATTTTTTCTTCATGTTTGAAAAAAATAAAAAATAACTTATTTTCCATCATGCAGGAGCATTTTTCAGCAGGACACTGATGAAAAATACCAGATTATTGAATTATATCCTTACAGCTGAATCAACATCATTACAAATTTTACTTAATAGATTAAGGAATGAATGAAGACATTTAGAAGGAGTGTTCTGATTAATTTCGTCCAACTTGATGTTCTCTAGATGCATCAGTCCAGCGAATCCTCATCCCCAGTCTATACAGTCAGTTGGTTAAGCAAAATGGACTTTGTAGCCCGACAGATTTAGAGAGGGGCAGTTGAAAGCTTCATTAAGATAGACCTTAATGCTAGCAAGTAGACACAGGAAATCTTACTTTTTAAATATTAGGAAGGCCACATGAGGCATGTGGTGGAATGACTCAGTTTCCACTAGACTTAGTGCATGAGAATCTTGGCAGTTAAGTTCTCTTAGCATGGGCACATCGCGGAAGACAGCTGGATCCAGTCTTCTTAGCCTGGGCATTTGTGTTAGGTAGAAGGAGGTGAGCTGTGGCAGATCTTTGATCCAATCCTCATGAACTGGGAAGAAGAAGGAGGTCAGATCAAACAAAAGACACACGTAAGGCGATACTGTCTTGAAGACAGGAATGGGACCTGTGGACCTCCAGATGCTGAAATACCCAGTGGAATTTCTAGTTAATTCTTGCTTGGAGGACACACCCTTCCTTACTTCTGCTTCAGGGAATGGTATGTTCCGTCACTTATGCCTGTCAATATTTTTAAAGCAAACTATTATGCAATCTCAGTCATTCTCTAGAGATGAAGAGAAATAATTCTGTGAAAAAGGAATTGGTTCTTAGGTCATTATTTGCCCTTTCTGTCTCCTTACTGTATATTTGAGGTAGATGTGAATAGAGGATTTTTGAATAATTATTAATTAGTATGCAGGTTTATATTAATGATGTTCAATCATAATCATTAAAATACAGTTCAGAGAATAGACTGAACTGGGAAGTTCTTCACCCAAGAATAGTCTGGATCAAATCAGACATCCATGCCATACTATTCTAGACTAAGATAACCATTGCAAATTTATTATGTGTTTACAACATAACAGAAAATACAGTACTAGTTGTGAAAAAAAAGAAGATTCTGGTATTTCACTGCCTCTGCATCATATAAATGGTTCCCCCCCCCGCAAAAAAAATACATGTTCACGCTACCATCTAAAATCCTGTCCCTTTGCAGGTTGCCTTATGATGTTAGAGTACACTTTGCTGTAAAGTTTGGGACAGTAGCATGGAATGGAGAAGTGCAAAGGAAAACATACTAAAAACGGGTGCCCTCCAATGCTATAACTGTAATGCTCACAATTGACCATGGTGGATGGGACTGTGGGGATTTTCATTCAAAATATCTGTTGACACTGGGTTGCTCATTGTGTTCTATATTGTGAATGACAATTTATTTATGCTATTAGCCACTGTAAAGAGTACACATATGCAAATGTTCTATCAGGTAAGAATACCTGGCATAAAATGTGGGCATTATTTCTAAGAATCCTAAAATATAGGTGTCAGGAGGTAAAAATAGCTTAGAATCCTTATGGGAGCTGGAATACTAAATTTACCCATTCTTGATTTTTAAAAGTGAAATTTTTTATGTTACCCTCCTAAACTCTCCTGAGAATGTTACTTTTGAGTAGTTATATAGAGTTATTGTAAATGTTTAAATGCAATGTAAGAAGCATATTAGGGATCTTTTAAAAAAATAATAATTTCATTTGCACAAATTCATGCATCATTATTATCATTATTGTTGTTGTTTGTTTTGGAAAAGTGAAAGAAGATCCCTCAAATGGAAAATTCACCCAAATGATTAATACTGTATACATATTCAGATTTTAGCATAGGAATGCAGATTCCAAGTTTCCAATTAAAACTGAATGCAGCCTTCCCCAACTTGGTTATTATGGATCTCCCATTATCCCCAGGCAAGATAATGGTAAGACAAGTAGTTTAGCATATCTAGAAGAGAGAGACCTCTTTTTGCCAAAGTCTTCAGTAAGATTTTAGAAAACTTTACAACCAAATTTTACAACCCGCCTCCCCCACCCCACCCAGTTTGATGAGACTTGGTGCTTCTCCATTCAGATTTTGACACTTACTCCTCTCCAGGAAGGTTGCACTGAGGTCAAGCACACCGATAGTAGCTTTTCTGGTGTCTTCAATGGAATCTTGGTCATGGAATAAGTTAATTGCAAAAGCAGATTCCCGAATTCCCACTTTCCCATCTTTTCCCAGCCATGTGGATGACAGGTTCAGGAAATGCAGCTGAGGATAGCAGGAGAAGGCAAAAGGCTGGATTTCTCTGATAGGGTTTCCTGCTAGCGATAACCACCTCAGATTGTCCAAAGAAGTAATGCAGGCAGGTACAGCTGAGAGCAAATTGAAGCTCAGATCCACCAACTGAAGACTGCTGAGACTTCCAGTCCCCCATATCACCCTATGGATCTGATTCTGTCTCAGGGAGAGGACTTGCAGCTTGGGCAGATAAGCCACATCTTGGCTATTTAATTCTGGCAAAAGATTGACACTCAAATCCAGATGTTCCAGAAGCTCTGGCAGACATTCAGGGAAGGAAGTTAGATGTTGATTTTGCATGTGCAAGGTGGTTGGTATCTGGGTCCTCAGTTCCTCACAAGGCAGGCTGGTAAGGTTGATGTTTTCCTCCCAGACATTCTGCTTAACCAACTGGAACAGGGCCTTCACATCTCCCTGTGGGACAGAACTTGCCTTCTCTGTGGGCCTAGCAGTGATGATTCTTACAAGCAAGACTACACAGGCCAGGAAGCTGAACATTGTGGTCCTTTAAAAACACCTTGGGTGTAAAGAGGGAGCTGTTTTCAAAGGATAGGCTGAGGGAGGAAAGCAATACTGAGTGGTAATTCTCATAAAAGTACCCACTATTCTGCAATGCCCATTCATTCAAATACCATAAGAAGCTGAACTTACAGAGGGAAGAGAAAAAATGTAGCTGGATTTAGTCCCCAAATCCGGCCAGAGGCTCTTTGCCTGGCCATATAGACCAACTGCTAATTCAGGTGGCAATCCTATATCCACTTAGAAGTAAGTTCTGGGCAATGCAATGGACTTTTCTGTACTGTTTAATTATTTAATCCTGTGCTAAATCTACCTTGCAATTTCTCAAAAGTTTCCCTTCCTTGGAAAAAGGCTTTTGTTTTTCTACTTCATTCTCAGGGGGCTCATAAACTTTCAAATTTCTTTTGCAAGTTTGACTTTACTTTAGAATTGAAGGTGGTGGCATGGGTTATAGCCAGTTTATTCTTTGTAGTTGCACACCCTTCCTTCACTCTGAAACCTCCCTGGCCCTGCACACTTCTTAACCTGAAAGGAGTGCTCTCCTATTACTTTCTGTTGGGTTTTAATGGAAGTACAAAAAGCCAAGAAGATGGCAGACTGCAGAAGGGATGGTTATACAATGCGTCTGGCCAATCATACATACACTTCTTGGCCAGCACATAAGTGTAAGAGCACGCCATTCTCCATGTCTAAAGTAAATTCTCTTTGATGGCTGTGAAAGCCTTCGACAATACATTAAATTCTCTTTGCTTAAATTGAGAAAGGCGGGCAGCTTTTTCTGTGTGTGCTGGAATAAATACATTTTAGATATTCTATCACTGTACTGACTGTTGTAAAGTCAATAACAGATCCGATCAACACCAAAGGGGTGATTGTTGTTCAGCAGCAATGCTGTACTGCTGTCGGAGGAGCACTGCAGCCACAACCCCACCACTGCAGCCCCAAAGGCTGATTTTACTGGCCCCTTTGCAAGATTCTGAAAATCGGACTCCCTCTGCCGAAATGAACCTTGTTAGTGAAGTCTGTGTCGGGAAGCTAAATGTCAACAAACTCGCTTGCCTTCTTGTTCAAAAAATTAGCCTCAATCCTCCTGCAGGTCACAAGGCACAGAACAATGCCGGGAACGTACAGCCCCTTGCCCGGGGCAAGAGAAGAGGGTGCACTTGTAGAACTCCCCTTTAACATGGAAGCGAGAAGAGCTCACCTGTGCAGCCACTGGGGCAAAACCCCTCTTGTCAACATCCATCTTTCATTTAGCCAGATTAGATCTCGAACATCACCCTCCTGACCAAGGGGAAATATCCCGGCTTCCTCTTCTCCATCAGTATCTGTTTGTACTTACCTAGCAGCCCAGTGTGTCTTGGGGAGAGGTTCGGTGTCGGCCCCTCTCCCTGAATTCCCCAGCGCTTTATGCATTCCAGTGACTCAGAGCTGACGCACCAGTGGCTGTGCTCACTTGCTCCTGGCCCCTTCGCCCCCCCCAAAACCCCTCTACTGTCTGTGGGTGGGTGTGAGAGATGTGTTGTTCTACCTCTCCCCAGATGCCAGGCCAGCCCACCCCGCTGTAGTCTCATCCCTCCAGCACCCCCACCCTCAACCCTTTAGTGGAGGTGGGCAGCTCCATTCACCAGCTGGTTGCTTCCTGCCTGGCTGGCTGGCTGGCTGGCTTGGTGGGGGAGAACCATCGTTTCCTTCGGCAGCCAGGAGAGAAAGAGGGGGGCAGGAGAGGAAAGATGAAAGCTTGGTGGGGAGGGTAGGCTGGTCTGCTGATAAGCCAGCCAAAGGCTTTCCCCTCCAAAGAAACAAAATATCTTGTTTCAACTTCCCCACAGCTGTTGTTCACAAAGAAACAAATTGTATTGTGGCCGAGGGTGTTTATGAACTCAGCTAATAGCTGTATAGTCAACAAACCATGGCTAAGTAGACAATTGCTTACCTCAATGTGGGAATGCAGTTTGCAGATGCAAGCAGCAAGCTATATAATATATGTGGATGAGTGCAATGAGCCCCAACCATTTTAAAAAGAAAGAGGGGGGAAAAAAAGGTTGGTGAAGGTGACAGAGGGTGGTTAAAAGAAGCCAGACCTTTACTCTGCCAGTCTTTTTTTTGCTTTCACAATTGCTCCTTTCTGTACAACTCCAATATACTTAGCCTGCACACACCCCTGGAACTACACAGGAGCAGTTTGGAAGGAATAATTTGGAACAGAGTTGCTTGTGGCATGCTGTCACCTGGCTGAATTTCTCTTAAATTACCCCACTTCCCTTTAAAACAACCACCGCACAGGCCTACAAAGGAACTTTGGGCTACCACTACAATTCTTTGAATAATGTTTAATTTCGCCATGCCAATACCATCCAGAGTTGGCGTCATCAGATCCCTCCCTTTTTCAGCGGCTTTTTATAAAGGGAAGCAATATTGGGGCTTAGCTGTTTTTTGTGTGGTGTGGTGCGCTGTGTGTAGAAACCTAAAATGGAAGGAGGAAAGGTAAAGGAGGGACCTGTTCATGGGGAAAAACATCAGGCAGCAATGTTCAAAGGGAAACCAGCAGCTAAGGGCAGGATTTATGAGCTCACAGAATAGCCTTTCACAGCAGGGGAATGCTTTCCCCAGGACCTTGAGAACGGATGCTAATATCCCCTTATCTTTGCCCATGTCAGTTGGTATCAAGGAAGCTCTGAGACATACCAGCCTGCCCACACGCATAAGGGAGATCATTTAATGGAGCTGTTTGGAGACATTTGGTTCTGTCCCCTTGCTGTAAACAGACCGGCTTGTACTTCTGGAACCACCTTTTAAAGCTACGAGAGTAAGTAGATATTGCCCAACACTGTTCAACTATCTCCCAAGCTTTACAAGTTAATTCTTCCCTCAGCTATTGTCCAAGGAAAAGAAAGCCCACATTTGCACATTGTAGGAAGAGGGCACACCTTCTGAGAACTGCAGGCTATAAATATATTTGGACAAGACACCTCTTCACCTGGTCCTACATGGCCATTTAACCATGCTCCAAAATTGATCTGAGATTCAACACTGCAGCTACCCAACAAGTTTATGAACCCACCTGGGATCCAGACACACTGAAAATAAAGGAGATGTTGCATTTTGGTGTTTTGATTTTCAGCCTACCACCATTGCACTCATTTGGTTTTAACAGACAAAAAGTGAGATGGGGCAGGAACTTTGGCAGGCACCAAGAAAGTGGATAATTGATAGCTTTTGGTGCCATATTGTGGAAGGTAAGTTTGTGTATCATGCAAATTGGCATGCAAGTGTTAATGTCCAGACTATAATAGGAATCAGTCACATTAGCTCAGGATAACTATACTAATTCCCTACATTAGAAATATTCCTCCTTCCACAAGTTACAACAACAAACAATACAAAGCCACAACACATGGACAGACTTAACCACAGTTTCAACTGGGAAACTGTGAGCATCCTAGACCAAGCTAAATCTAAAAATGCGAGGGAATTCCTGGAAGCTTGGCATTCAGACAAATCAGCCATCAATAGACACAGAGAGATAAACCATATTTACACACCATTCAAGAGACAATAAAAAAGCTAAGAAGGAAACAAAAAGACCAGAACACATCCTTTCCAGCAACCAACAACTGGATTAGCAGGATTAACACCAGACAAACAATCAAGGAGAAAACAATACTTAAGGAACTAGTTGGGTAATGAAAGGTCTGCAAGCAAACAACCAAGCTCAGAGAGCACCAAGGACTCCACAGTTCAACCCCGAGCTAGTGTATTCTCTTCTATTGGCATACAAAGCCGTATCAAACAATAACATATATTCATCTCATCACCCATCCTCCTGTTCTAATGCTCCAAGGACAGAAAGCCTCAATTTTCTGTGGCTGGTTCACTCTAAAATATTGGAAAATGTGGTGGATGTACAGCAGCATCCAAGGGGAACCAAAAAGGGGGTCATAGTGATACAAGCGGTGTTTTTTTTTTAATAACTTTATTAAATTTTAAAATAAGAACAATAAAAACTAATATTGAAAGAAGAGTGAAAAGGAAAAAAGGGAAGAAGAGAACAAAGTCAAAACTGCTAAAAGTAAGAAAGACAGAAAAAAAACAAAATGGAAAAAAGAATGACTTCCAACCTTCTTCACAAAAGATATAAGTAACAATTTACATTAAGCTCTTACTCTATGTTTACAACATAACTTTCATTTTTTCTATTATCCAATATTATTTCTAATAATCAAATCCATACATTTCATTTTTATTTCACGCAAAAAGTCCAAAAGTGACACAAACAGTGTTGTGATACAGGCCCTGCCCCTTTCCTATGTGTAGTATGACATCACGTGTAGACCTAAAAGGGGTAGACCTGCAGCGCAATGCTGCAGTACCGCCTCAGTCATGCTAATGAAAACGAGAGCTTGTGAATGCACTCATAAAATGGCTATTGTGTGTGGTTTGTGTATGCATAAAGTGGCAGCCATGGAAACACAATCAGCATCTGCTCTACCAGGCCAACTGGCAGGGATGATCCTGGCCATCATTTCCCAGCCCTTCCCGTAAGATGTTCCCGTTTCTCCTGCCCCCTTTTATCTGTTTTTTTTTCTGGGCCTGCCTTGAAAGCACTGGCTTGAAGTTACTCCCCATTTCCATTTTCTAAAAATGACTCTGACCCCTTGATTTGGAAATAAGGCCAATACTGGAAGCTGGTTTTTTTTTTTTTTGCAGGATGCCACTTCTCTTGAAAAAGAATTTAAACAAAACAGTTGGATAGATCAGGAAATCTGGCAGGCACCCATTAAAAAAATTAAGTGGAATGTATAAAGTGTATCACAGATGCTGGAGCCTGTGAAATAATGGACCCTCTATTCCAAATCATCTAGGGCTGTTCAAGACTGATAAACATATTGAAAAATGTTTTTTGCCAGATTCAAAACTCTTATATTTTGGGAATAGCATGACATTCTTTCAGAGGAAAGAGAATCAGCCAGCATCTTGGTTTTCCCAGAAAGCCTGCTTACTGGTGCTGTTTCCCTTTTGGGAAATTAAGAAAAAGGCTTTTGCCTTAAAAAAAAAAAAAAGTTGCTTCTTTCGCCACTGATTGGGGTTCCCACTATAACTTGCCAATAATGTACAGGAAAAGATTCATTTTTTTATCAAGAGGCTGAATCATTCCACAAAAAAATTATTTGGTTTAGGCACTATAGGATTTTTTTTTTGAGTAGTAGCAATGTGCTATTTCCATTGAACAGTATTGTAAAGTCTGAATTACTAGACTTTTTAATTGGTCTGGACTTTTTTTCCAGAGATTTAAAAAGAAAACTGAAGACGCTTCCTTCAAAAGGAAACCAAGTGGTTTAAAAGGTACCCCATGCCAGATTTGTGGGAGGAAAAAGAGGGAATAAGAAATCAACCTTGCAGTTCTATGCCCAATGAAACTGAAGTGAAGTCTCCCTACATTTATAAGGTCTAACTTCCAAGTAAATCTACCAATCAGCAATGGGATTCTAAAAAACGGAATTGTCACAAAAATATTTCTCCGTTTATTATATGAGTGCTGAATCATATTGCTCTTTCTCCTTTGTTTTAAATGGAATGGGCCTGTTCCCTAGCTAATGCAGCCATGAGCCAAGATCTCCCATTCAGCAGCAAGAGGAACACCTCCAATGGCAGATGTTAGGAGCTGTGCTTTTTTCATCTCAGACAGCAAAAGGCAGCCTTAACAGTACAATAGGTGCAAGGAAGTGCCAGAAATATATTGCCCTGCAGATCTATTTATGAAAGCTTAGAGACTACAAGCCACAGACATCCATCTTTCCCGCTTGTAGCAAATCATGTGGTCTGGAATGTTGTAGCTGAAAGCTGAATTCTTCATTGACACAGGAAGATAAACAGAACCCAGCAGCCCGTCCCAAGAGGAGACGGTACCATGCTTCAGAGAAGAATTCCTCTCCCCCCGTCCCCCCACCAAGCAACCACTGAGGGTCCCTCTCACTCTCAAGACTTATACAAGGTGAAACCTGGAGTTGAGATGCATTCTCAGGAAGTCAAAGGGATTAGTGAAGTTTCAAATAGCTGAACAACATATGACACATCCAAGTGCTTTCTTGAATCTAAGTTAAAGCTTCACATATGCAACAAGTCAGAATACACCATGGGATGTTCTGAAGACCTTTTCATCCAGCTGGAGGTAAAGGGAATATCCACCGTGTAAAATATCTCAGAATGCAACCTCAGAAAAAGAGGCAAATGAGTTCTCCCCCCCACGGGTATTCTTACACATCAGGGCCACAATCCCACGGTGCCCTCTTTTGCCCTCCAGTTCTCTTGTGGCCTTTCTGTCCTCTTGTTCCTGTTTGTCTCAGGGAGAGGCAGACTTGCCTCAGTTTGGACAGAAGGCCTAAACAGAGAGCCATTTAAAATAAACAGATGATCGCTGGTTTATTTAGGAAATGTATATACCACCTCAGTCCAATTGGATTCTAGGCACTCTATCATGTAAAGAATAAAATACACTAATAACAATAGCACAGTAATGTAAACATAGACAATATACTATTGTAAAAAAAGTCCTAAACTTACATGGTTCCAGATGGAGATGGCGCCAAAATCTGTATTTTAGCTGGAATTATAA